GTACAGAATCATAGAATGACAGAGCTGGAAGGGGCCTTGGAGGTCATCTAGTCCAAGCCCCTGCTCAAACAGGAGACCCTTACAAAATAGATTAACCGGGTGGGAAGGGACCTTGAAGGTCATCTAGTCCAGCCCCCTGCTCAAGCTGGAGACCCTTACAGAATCATAAATAAGAGAGTTGGAAGGAACCTTGGAGGTCATCTAGTCCAGCCCCCTGCTCAAGCAGGAGACCCTTACAGAATCACAGAATGACAGACTTGGAAGGGACCTGAGAGGTCATCTAGTCCAACCCCCTGCTCAAGCAGGAGAGCCTTACAGAATCATAGGATGGCAGAGTTGGAAGAGACCTTGGAGGTTATCTAGTCCAGCCCCCTCCTCAAGCTGGAGACCCTTACAGAATCATAGAAGGAGAAAGTTGGAAGGGACCTTGGAGGTCATCTAGTCCAGCCCCCTGCTCAAGCAGGAGACCCTTACAGAATCACAGAATGACAGACTTGGAGGGGACCTGAGAGGTCATCTAGTCCAACCCCCTGGTCAAGCAGGAGAGCTTTACAGAATCATAGGATGGCAGAGTTGGAAGAGACCTTGGAGGTTATCTAGTCCAGCCCCCTCCTCAAGCAGGAGACACTTACAGAATCATAGAAGGAGAAAGTGGGAAGGGACCTTGGAGGTCATCTAGTCCATCCCCCTCCTCAAGCAGGAGACCCTTACAGAATCATAGAAGGAGAAAGTGGGAAGGGACCTTGGAGGTCATCTAGTCCATCCCCCTCCTCAAGCAGGAGACCCTTACAGAATCATAGAAGGAGAAAGTGGGAAGGGACCTTGGAGGTCATCTAGTCCAGCCCCCTCCTCAAGCAGGAGACACTTACAGAATCATAAATAGGAGAGTTGGAAGGAACTTTGGAGGTCATCTAGTCCAACCCCCTGCTCAAGCAGGAGAGCCTTACAGAATCATAGGATGGCAGAGTTGGAAGAGACCTTGGAGGTCATCTAGTCCAGCCCCCTCCTGAAGCTGGAGACCGTTACAGAATCATAGAAGGAGAAAGTGGGAAGGGACCTTGGAGGTCATCTAGTCCAACCCCCTCCTCAAGCAGGAGACCCTTACAGAATCATAGAAGGAGAAAGTTGGAAGGAACTTTGGAGGTCATCTAGTCCAACCCCCTGCTCAAGCAGGAGAGCCTTACAGAATCATAGGATGGCAGAGTTGGAAGAGACCTTGGAGGTCATCTAGTCCAGCCCCCTCCTGAAGCTGGAGATCGTTACAGAATCACAGAAGGAGAAAGTGGGAAGGGACCTTGGAGGTCATCTAGTCCAACCCCCTCCTCAATCAGGAGACCCTTACAGAATCATAGGAGAAAGTGGGAAGGGACCTTGGAGGTCATCTAGTCCAGCCCCCTGCTCAAGGTGGAGACTCTTATAGAATCATAGGAGAAAGTGGGAAGGGACCTTGGAGGTCATCTAGTCCAACCCTATGCTCAAGCAGGAGAGCCTTACAGAATCATAGAAGGAGAAAATGGAAAGGGACCTTGGAGGTCATCTAGTCCAGCCCCCTCCTCAAGCTGGAGAGTCTTATAGAATCATAGAAGGACAGATTTGGAGGGGACCTTGGAGGTCATCTAGTACAACCCCCTCCTTATGCTGGAGACTCTTATAGAATCATAGAAGGAGAAAGTGGGAAGGGACCTTGGAGGTCATCTAGTCCAACCCCCTTCTCAAGCAGATGACCCTTTACCATTTCAGACAAGTGACTGTCCAGTCTCTTCTTAGAAACCCACCCTTTGGCTTTGCGGGTCCGAAGGTCCCAAAAGTGGAGTCACGTGACCCCCCCCAGACGCCGCGACCGTCATAAATACGAGGCAGTTCCCATGCGTCGGAGTTTAGATCACGGGACCTCCCAGCTCTCTTTTCCAGCTCGATTCCGATTCCGAGAATGTATTGCAAATATTTCATTCACCCATCTAGTTTTTGCATAAGGCGCTTTTGGACATTTCATTCGCCTCTGGAACTCACCGCCACAAGAGTTGGGAAAAAATTTTTTCCCTACAGCTTTAAAAGGAGATGGGACAAATCTAGGGAGGTCACCTTGATGCAATTACAATCAATTAGAATAGAGATGGAATTGACCTTGGAGGTCATCTAGTCCAGCCTCCTGCTCAAGCAGGAGACCCTTACAGAATCATAGAATAACAGGGTTGGAAGGGACCATGGAGGTCATCTAGTCCAAACCCCTGCTCAAACAGGAGACCCTTACAAAACAGATTAACAGGGTGGGAAGGGACCTTGAAGGTCATCTAGTCCAGCCCCCTGCTCAAGCAGGAGACCCTTACAGAATCATAGAATAACAGGGTGGGAAGGGACCTGGAAGGTCATCTAGTCCAACCCATGCTCAAGCAGGAGACCCTTACAGAATCATAGAATGACAGGGTGGGAAGGGACCTGGGAGGTCATTAAGTCCATCCCCCTGCTCAAGCAGGAGACCCTGACAGAATCATGGAATGACAGAGTTGAAAGGGACCACAAAGGTTATCTAGTCTAACCCCTGCTCAAGCAAGAGACCCTTACAGAATCAAAGAAGAACAGAGTGGGAAAGGGTCTCGGAGGACATCTAGTCCAACCCCCTGCTCAAGCAGGAGACTAACAGAGACCTCCCCCCTTGTTTCCTCCTCCTGTCTGGAAGCCCCCAGATACACAGGTGGGGGGGGAGAGAGTAAAATCCCCTCAGTCCTTCTATGATTCTGTAAGTGTTTCCTGCTGAGACAGGGGGTTGGACTAGATGGCCTCCAAGGTCCCCTCCAGCTCTGTTATTCTATGATTCTGTAAGGGTCTCCTGCTCAGGCAGGGGGTTGGACTAGAATCTAGATGACCTCCGAGGTCCCTTCCCACTATTATCCTATGATTCTGTAAGGGTTTCCTGCTCGAACAGAGGGTTGGACTAGATGACCTCCAAGTTCCCTTCCCACTCTGTTATTCTCTAATAAGAGGCTCCTGCCTGAGTAGGGGGTTGGACTAGATGACCTCCAGGGTACCTTCCAACCCTGTTGTTCTATGATTCTATAAGGGTCTCCTGTGCAAGGAGGGGGTTGGACAAGATGACCTCCCGGGTCCCTCCCAGCCCTGTTATTCTATGATTCTGTAAGGGTCTCCTGCTCGAACAGGGGATTGGACTAGATGACCTTCGAGGTCCCTTCCCATGCTGTTATTCCATGATTCTTTCAGGGTCTCCTGCTGGAGCAGGGGGTTGGACTAGATGACCTCCAAGGTCCCTTCCAACTCTCTTATTCTATGATTCTGTCAGGGTCTCCTGCTCAAACAGGGGGTTGGACTGGATGACCTCCCAGGTTCCTTCCAACTCTGTCATTCCATGATTCTGTCACACTCTCCTGCTCGAACAAGGGGTTGGACCAGATGACCTCCACGGTCCCTTCCCACTCTGTCATTCCATGATTCTGTCAGGGTCTCCTGCTCGAACCGGGGGTTGGACTAGATGACCTCCGAGGTCCCTTCCCACTCTGTCATTCCATGATTCTGTCACGCTCTCCTGCTCAAACAAGGGGTTGGACCAGATGACCTCTACGGTCCCTTCCCACTCTGTTATTCCATGATTCTGTAACAGTCTCCTGCTCGAACAAGGGGTTGGACCGGATGACCTCCACGGTCCCTTCCAACTGTGATTCTGTGGGCTGTATCCCCAGAAAAGCTGGGACCCCAACCCACGGGGGAGGGGGAGAGGAAGGAGGGAAGAGAGGGAAGCCCCTTACCCCTCCCCACAGACACCCCCCCACAGACCCCCACCCAGAATCCCCTCCAGGGGAATCCCCCCTCCCTCCTCTCCTTCCACGGAGGGCGGGGGGGAGGAGGAGAGAGGGGACCCTTCCCCACCCCCCCACTCACCCACCCCCCACCC